CTTGAATGGAAGAAACTAACGACAATTCAAGATGTTTGATGTTTTCATGACTTTGCAAATTTCTATTGAATCTTCATCAGAGATTATTCCAAGATTGTGTTTTCATTAACACAATTCACTTGCTTCTGTTTAAAAATTTAATAAAATATGGCAGCAAAGCAAGCATTTGAAATCCTTAAGGCGTCATTTATCATTGCACTTATTTTTATACATACTAACTTTTGGAGTCTTCTTTTCCTCAAAAATGGCTCCTTTGATTTTGCTCTTGAAGCAATTTGCATGTAATGTAGCGAAAACAAACATTTTCATCCTATCACATTTCATTTGCAAAATTCACAACTGCAAAAATCAAGTATAAGATTCACAATAATGAGCTTTTAGCCATCGTTAATTTGCTTAAAGAATGACAATATTTAGCTGGATGAGCTCAATATACTATAAGAATTAACATCAATCACAAAATTTTTGAAAATTTCATGTGTACAAATATTTTGCATTGGCAAAAGCACGTTGGAGCACATTGTTATCATGCTTCAACTTTGTCATCACATGTCGACCCAATTCACAACAAGTTTGCTTTGACGCTTTATCAAGGGAGGTTTATCTTGCGTCAAAAAAAGTCAATGCAACATGCGATCAACAATATTAAATTATGTTAAAACTTTATCAAATTATGAACAACTTTTGCTTCAAACCACGCGCACTTTAACTTTGATCAATAAAAAAAAAAAATAGAAATAAAAAGTGGAGCATTTGTCCAAGTTATTTGTATAAGTTTGCGCTCTGATACATAGGCTTTGAAAATCAAGAGATATTCTAAATTTTCTATTTTGAAAGGTGTCTAAGTCATAAATTCTCACATTCTTGAACTTGATATTATAGTTGTGGAAGCACCAATCAATTTATTCTTTATTCATGCATCTATAGATCACATCTTCTCATGTTCCGAAGTTCAAATGTTCCGAAATATTACGGATCCAAGTATTAAGTGCAATGATGAATTGACCTACTACCAAAGACTACGATATGTTTTTATAAATCCATGCTGATTTTGTGTGTTTTAATGCGTGCACAAGTTTCTGGCGATAGTACATTTTGACTTTAACAAGATCATAGAGCTAGTTTCAAGAGAATGCAGATGTGCATAAATGTGGAAATTTGTCAAAGAATACATAAGAACATGTGACACATGTTCAAGATTCAAGATTTTTTGCCATCGTCCGTATGAATTACTATATCCACTCCTAGTTTGAAAAAATCATGGTTTTTCATAACCATATTGTGGATCTTCCAAAGTTCAAATCTTTTGATTCAATTTTTGTTGTAGTGTACAGTTTGACAAAGATGACATACTTCATGGCTTGCAACAAGACTTTCATAAGTAAAAAAACAACAAGAAGTTTTTGGAATATGTGTACAAATATCATAGATTTTTTGACATCATCTCTCATCAAGATACGCAATTCACATACTATTTCTGACCATCGTCATTCAAAATCTTTCAAATGAAAATCAATCTATTATCTGCTTATTATCTTCATATCAATGAACAAATCAAACGAGTGAATCAAGTATTGAATCAATACAAATTGCTTTAATATCTAAGTATCTAAATGGTTCCATTTACTACTGTAAGTACAATTTAATGAATCTATTTTCATTTGCATAGTTTGTCTACAACAATATATTTGAAGTGTACATTGACTAAACTCTATTCTTACAAACTATGGATAGCATCCACAATGTGAGTCTTGGAATATGAGTTTGGCAAAAAATACAGCTACGCAAAATCTTGTCGCTAGACTTTTGAAGATTCAAAAAAAACATGAAGGTAATAATGATTAAAGAAAAATGCAGACAAATCTTGAAAGTAAATTCAAACATCTTGATTGATGATAAAGTCTGATATTTGTGTTATATTTTTAAGTTATGCCGACCTAGCAACAAAATTGACTATCGTCGTTTTGGATCTTGTTTCATGAGTAATAAATTCAACAATATAACATTCCGGTTGAACTTGACATCATCCGTGAAAATTTATCTAAAATTTCATGTTTATTTCCTTGAAAATGAACTATTCTGGGACGGTTGAGAGCAACTTTTCAACCGATCAAGATTAATGAGAAAGAAAAATTTGAAGTCTCGAAGATATTTGACTCACACATCAATCAAAGATCTTGTACATTGGCATGATTATGAAGTAAACTATCAAACTTGACAATCTTGATATTAATCTTGATAAGCTTCAAAAAATGATCCATAAAGTTCATCGTCAATACATGATGAAAGCAAGTGCCAAAGATGTTTGAATCCACCGCGTTTGGATCAACATCAACACTTAATCAAATTGTTGTCTTGTGACTATCACATGGATTTCTTGAAATAGGTATTTAGTTTCCATTTTTTATAAGATGAATAAAATAATTTGTGAAACTTGTTGCTTGAAAGAGGATGATGTCACATATGTGACATACATAATCAACTTTGAAATCATACTAGTGATGGCGGTGATTCAATCCAACTTAAGAATCCTAGTAGCTATGGGAGTGATTCTATCCAATTTTGAAGTACCAGTAGCATCATGGTGGTACTTAAACTTGCTTGAAGTATATATAGAAAGTTTTGAGACATTGTAACTCATCTTTGTTAACATCAATTGTATTGTGCTCTTGCTTTCATGAATTCTGATTGTACTTCATTATTATTGACATTTTGGTTTGAGTTATACCTTCTTTGTTTCGTTTGAAAATTGCGTAAGCATCATTTGACCAACAGAAATTGTTAAAAAGAAAAGAAGATGCAAAATTGAAACTTATATTTAATTTTACGATCTGTTTTCATGGAAAAAATCTAAAATCTAATTACAGAATATTTTAACATAACCAAAATTTTTATAAAATTGGTAATTAACCATTAAACATGAGTTTGATATCAACTATCTGGAATTCAATCAATATGCTATATATCTCATTTTTTTGATAAAAAATTTGTATTAAAAATTAATGTTACTTTCAAATAATGTGACTTTCATTACTTTCATTGTTTAATGTGACTATACTCATAATGTGCATAGATTAGATGTACTCCAAATCAACAATCAACATCTAATATTCTAAAAACGTATTTGGAGCATGTGATACTGCAATTTCAAAAAATTCATCACAAAATAAAAAGTGAATGAAAAAATGTAAATGAAAAATATACTATAGTAAAAATTGAATGAAAAAATATAGTAAAAAATGAAAAATGAAGAAACAACATTTAACAATATGTTGTTTCATAATAAGTTTGCACATATAATTTCCTCTATTTATAATTTTACTATAATTATCATTTCAAAAAATTATTTATAATGATATAAAAAAATTAAATATATTTCCAAATGTATTTCTTCATATTTCTAAATTTTCTTCATGTTATGTCAATATTTGATCATTGAATTCAAAAGAAATATGTTTAAAAAACGTTAAATAATAAGTTTCTTGTAATGAATTATTGAAATAAACTTAATTTGAAAAAGTTACCAGGATTTAAAATCCTTAACACACAATTTGATGTTAATATTTTAGCAATAAAATTGAAATATATTATTGGTTTATATTCACTTAGAAAATAATATGTGTCTCTTGAATGTACATTATTTTTGGAATTTTTATGATCTTTTTTTTGAATCATGTATCATTTGAAAAAAAAATTGGATTTTTTTAAATTTTTATTTAAAAATGAGATATATTTAATTAATTTTAATATGATTTTTATGTTTATTTTGACACAATACATGCAATAGAATTCGATAAGATTATCAGAAAATGAATCATTTGAAACTTTTTTTTATCTTTTGTTGATAGAAGAATTATATAGAAACTATGAAAAATTTTAAAAATTTAAATTCAAAGAAATTTTTTTTTCTAAATATAAGAGATACATAAATTGATTATATGTTTTCTAATATAATTTAAAAATAAAATCAAAGTAGCAATTATCTGGTGGTGGCTCTCTCCACTTTGTTCTCTTGCTTATACTAGTTTCTTTGTAAACTCTTATTCCCATTAATCATTTCATTAGGATGATAATTTCTGTGTAGGTATCAACTAACACACTGATCTTTGTGTACCAAACATGTAATTACTAGGTTGTATTATTATTGATATCTATCTTCATTTTGATTAATCTTCAATTTAGTTTTAAATACTATAAAATGATTATATTTATAGATTTCATGAAATGGTAATAGATCTAAACAAATCATATTATCGAAGCATACAGCCCTTTACAAGTATGTTACATGAAAATTTGTCACCATAACATGTTACGATCGTAATCATAATATTAAATTAAAATTTAATTTTCTCAAATTTCTACTCTTTCTTAACTTCAAATCAAAGATATTCGAATGATATCTAATTGAAACTATAATGAATCAGAGTGTATCAATGAAAGAAATGAACAAACAATATGTAATCATGAAAGAACAATATGAAAAAAATGATCTAAGAGTTTATAGACTTCAGAAACTTAAATGAGTGAAGCAATACACAATCACAAAACCAAGCTAAAAGCTCTAATCACTCAAAGCAAGTGGAATAAAAGGGAGATTGCAATAGAGATACGGAGATAATTGATTTAGAGTAAATAACCAATGAAAGCTCTGAATGTACAAGTCCAAGCCGTATAATGAGCAAGAGAGTTACATATCGAGATGATTCTGTAGATGACAAAACATTGTAAGGTATATTATATCGAGAAACTCACATTATGGGGGTTTTGGAAAGTTGCAATGAATAGATAGAATATTGCCATTTTGTTAAACATTTGCAACTTAATAACCTTGTATATATTGGTTGGATTGTGCAATTCAACGCCACATGTTGAATCTTTTTCTTCAATGAATACATCAATGGCTTTGGTTTCAAATATTAGCTTGAAAGTTAGAAATTACACACTCAATCAGAATTTGCACAATCTGATGAGGAAATGTCTCATTAGAAACTGATTTTTCAATACTTTAATGTTTTTGGAACCACAATGGGCTTCAAAGTTTTTCAAATGAATGTAGGTGTCTTAGCAGTATTGATAAGCTAAATTCACTCAGCTCATTTGAAAAGACATTTGAAATTGTGCATATCATTTCTCTAACAGGAAAAAAAAATGCACTGGTCCTCAAGTTTAGTTAAATAATTTAGAATCATGGGATATCTTGATGCTCTTTTCACTGACTCAGGCACTGGCCAAAGCCGGTGAAAATCGATGCATGGCCTCTAGCAAAATCGAGGATCAAGAGTACGGTAGTTCAGAGCTAAGCGGGTGCACAGATCAAATACAAAATGATCTCTCAAGCACACATAACTAATCAAACGTTTTGTTTGTCTGGCATTTTCTGGTTGATTGTTTCTGTTTACAGTCTCAACAGGATTCTAATGCCAAACATCTGCTTTCTGACCGTACTCTTCATGCACAGACAGGCACAGTCAGCTGCTATTGCAAATAAGCCACAAGTACATGTTTTATTATATTTAAGCTTGATCATTTAGACAGTATCAGACTTCTACGCACTAGCCACATAAATATTGGATGTGGAATTAATTGTGCTTTATATTTATGTGCAACTCGATCAGGTTAAGAAACATTCACGTTTCACTCGAACATTACGCTGAACTGGGCACATTCTATAAGATGAACAGTCGAACATAATGTCTAGAAGAAGTCGCTTGGCCTATTTCAAGGCCAAGCGAAGTGACCTTTACAACGTGGCATTTATCTTGATTTTCTTTCATGCATGATGATGTTATCGTCACCTGGACATTTGAGTTCGAGGATTTGACAGCTTGTCGTTTGGCACGTACAGACTGATGTAAGGTGCATTTGATTTGGCAATATAGGCGAAGGACAAAGCAGCTGAGAAAAGCATTACAAACAAACTCCTGCCTGTACTTCACTAGACAAATGTTCGAATGAGATTCTTACCCCGCGAATTCCAGGATTTGCAGGTCAAAATATCGGAATACGGTATGTCCACCTTGAAAATCAGCGTGCGGCTTTTGAGTAGATATGATGACCTGCCACATCTGCGTGACTCTCTTACGTAGAGAAATCTGCGAATCACTTGACACATGTAGATACTTGCACAACTCTTTCAATCGCCTTCTTTCAAACCAATGCTCGCGATTGTAGACATCTGTGCAATCGAAGCAAAGGCTCTGATACTAAATTATGACTTTCTATGGCCCGCATATTTGCCATGAACGTTTTCCTATCATGTTAACCAAGCTTGACGTGTACTCAAGCCTTTCACATTCGGCTTAAAAGGGCATTGACTGCTCTATCTTCTCTATTTCCGCAGTCCATGATCTATCCAAGTACTGAACTCGGACTAGAAGGAACTGTCCATAGGTGATTAATGCATATGCAATGGGAGGCTAGTTCACATCGAGTCTGCTAGCAATAGTTTTCAATCAGAACATTTGTTCAAACACCACTGCTAACCGACTTGGAGTCCTCGCAAATTGGCCTAGTTCACCCCTGTGCACGAGTTTTTGGATTATAAGATCAAACTTACTAGCGTGCAACGTCGAGCTTGGACAAAAATAACAGAAAGGATTGCATTTAGAAATTCATCAACATTTGTTCATACAATGGAATTCAAACGATGGTGGAGCAGAATTGAAGACTTGGGAAGTAGAAGTGACAACAGTAGCTCTGGAGAACATGAGCAACCGCGCAGGAACCAGAGAAAGAGGCATGTTCTCGTTATCGGTGGGGGAGTCAGTGGGTTGACCACTGCATGGAAGCTGCTGGAGGCGAATTTCAGAGTGACGGTGTTGGCGAAAGACTATGCTCCAGCCACCCCTCGGATCGTGTCAGAAGTCGCGGGTGCTTTGTGGGAATGGCCACCTGCTGTTTGCGGCAAGCACTCAGACGCCACATCACTGGAGCGATCCAAGAAATGGAGCATGGTGTCCTACAACATCTTCTCACAAATGGCCGAGGACCCCGAGCTGGCCCGAGCCACAGGCGTCAGAATGAGAGTGGCCACCTTCTTTTTCCAGAAACCGATCTCCGAGGACCCTGAGACTTACAACAAGGTTCAGGAGTTGAAAAACTCTGGAGTAAAATGCGTGAGACATGGTTTCGAGTTGATCGAAGAAGAGCTCGGTCGAGGAGCTCACTCTGAACTGAAAGACGCGTACCAGCATCTTGCACCAGTCATCGACACTGACCAGTACATGGTGTGGCTGACCGGCCGTGTGGTGAGTCTAGGGGCCGAGCTCCGTCATGCAGAAATTACGCACCGCCTCCTGGACATAGAGGCCGACCTTCTGCATCAGTTCAAAGCAGATGCAATTGTCAACTGCACGGGATTGGGAGCCATGGTGACGGCTGCAGATGATAACGTGTACCCGTTGAGAGGTTGTCTAATTCGGGTGAAGAACGATGGTTTCAGCATGCCCAAGGTCACCAAGGCGCTCTGCGTGCCTCATGATGATTCGAAGGCTGACATGGGGAACTCTGAGGACCTGGTGTTCATCGTTCCCAGGAGTGAGAAGGTTCTCCTTTTGGGTGGTTCGGTTGAGCCCCATGAATGGGGGCTTGACCTCAACCTCGACAACTCGGCTCTCGTACGAACCATGCTGGACAGATGCGTCAACTTCTTACCGGCCCTAAAGAACGCGGAGCTGATCGATGATTTCCCAGTCGCAGTGGGCCTTCGGCCATTTCGCAAAGGGAATGTGCGTCTCGGAGCAGCTGGTGGCTCATCTAATAATAAGCTGAGTATACGAGCCGGATCGAGAATTGTTCACAACTACGGCCACGGTGGATCAGGCTTCACCCTTTCTCATGGATGTGCAGAGGAGGTGGTGCAGATTGTACAGAGAATGCTTGAGAGTCACAGAGATACTCATTGTGACTCTTGCACACAGTCAACGATGCTGGGAGTTCAAGTGGAGTCACAAAGATACTCCATGTGATTCTTGCAGACAATCAACGATGCTGGGAGGTCAAGCGAGTCGACTCACAGACTACATGCTTCCTGACATTATTCCACTTTCTAGGACATACTCGCAAGAGTGGCGTGTCCGAGCGGAGGCCATTTGCTGGACTTTCATGAGTCCAGGCACGAGTTCTTGAGGTGCTAGTTTTGCTGCTCGTCTGGACCAGACATATCTCACATCCTCAGCGGAATGCAATCTACGCCTGCAAGATAGATAGACACTTTTAATTACGATCTTTCAGCCGTGCACAAGAAACCCATCGAGTTGCAGGAAACGGTGGCGGAATGCAATCTACGCCTGCAAGAGAGAAAGACACTTTTGATCACGATGTTTCGGCCGTGCACAAGAAACCCATCGAGTAGCAGGAACGGTGGATAAGAAAATGCGTCTGAGACTGGGATGGATATCAGGAATTTGATGTTGCGATTATCTTATAGATTTTCCAGGTGAAGCACATAGCGCTGCGTATATGTTCCTCGTCGCTCGGGCGTGCGGGCCAGGTTTCTTCTCTACCTACGGATACGATGTATGTACTTCGTAACAATCGTACGTCCGCTTCAATACGGGTCACCCTCGGAGTTAGTTGCGAGTTCTATGCTTGATTCTTGGTGAGGTTATTTCGTTAAGATGCATTTCGAGTTAATTCTTAGTCTCATTTTCATTTACGCAATAAACATCATCATCACGATCATTAGGCGTGGCAGACTGTCACTTGAGCTCCTTACTGGAGTCTATATTTCCTTTTTATCTTAAATGGTACACGTTAAGCAATAAATTCTAATATAGAGCTCATGTTGAATTGTATTACCATAACGTTCTTCAAGTCTTAATAAAATATACTCCTTTATGCTCATTTGTTTGTCTCTTTAGTATATAAGATGTTTCAAAACACATACAATATACTAATCAATATAATATCCAAAAATTTGTTTTAATTTCATCTTCTTTTTTGAATATAACCTCTTCTACTTCTATAAATTTGTTCGTTGTAATGTACACTGTCAAAGGTGAATTTTTTGTTTGTGATCTTAATTTTAAAGATAGTAATAAAGAAATAGGAAACACGACTTCATGTTGAAAAGATTAATTTATGAATCCATTCTTACTTCAACCATACTTAACACTTGCACATTTATTCTACTCATATTTTTGCAATGTTACATATTAAATATGTCCAGATACCATAAAAGTGACTAACTAATAATATATATATATATATATTATTTGGATTAAACTAGAGAAGAATAATTTACATCTGACTATCACATGCTTCACCGGAAATGAAATTCATATCGTACGGGTAAAGAATTTGGAACTTTACCGTCCTTAGCTGGAAAGTAATGCCAGCTGTCAGGAAAGCAGAAGATGGTCGTTCACTTATCTATACTACGTGTGTACGTAAAAGGTCGACTTGACCGTCGAATGTACCACAGATGCTAGACGTCGAAGTGAATGGAAACTGAGATCGTCACATACAGAACTTTGTACTGGAGACAGATGTCAAAACACATATCGTGCAACTAAGGTGTCTCTTTGGTCATAAGTTACGAAAACAGCATCGGACACTGAATCTGAACCGCCAGCCAGGCTCTTTACCAGGCTGTAACTTAACCTATGTATTTTATCTGCCTTGTGAGTTCTCGAGATTGTTCTTTCTTGAATTTGTTCAGTACGCCTGAGCCTTTTTCTATCATCTTTTAATTCCTGAAGCTTCACCTCTCATATCTTCATCTTTTGTGACTGGAGCTGTTCCAGTTCTCGAGGAGTGCTAACTTTACGTAAGTTTATAATCAATGTTCTTCACATGTATTCATAAATTCATGATAGTTCATTCCATCCAAACATTCAAAGATTGCTATAAAAACTCTCAAAAAATCTGAATATCTCCCATGCATCTCAAAAAATGAATCATGCGTTTCCTGCTCTTACGAAGAAGAACTATCTTCACTTTGCTCTACATTCTAAAGTCATCCCGAGTCATGTGAACACATTAAAATGTAAATAACGATATAAAGAGAACAAGGTGCATGACTATCACGCAGGTGCAGAGTTTTCGGATGCATCTCCACGTGCACGGCAATATTTCTGAATAACTACCTGGTCCAAGAGTCTCCTGCAATGATAGGAACAGAGAAGGCCAGAAGCACCGTCATCATGGTTCAAACGGGTTCCCAACGCAGACCTACTTGCCTTCGACAACAAGATATGACTAATATGTCCCTGTTCATGGCCAAAACTTCTGAAAGTCGAGAGTCCGACCTCAAAGATTGTAGCTAAGAGTCATGACTCCAAGAAACACGATATACAGGATACGCCTAACCCTACATGCTGATGCTCCTCCAGTAGGACTGGACTCTGTAGGACTTGCAGCAATTGGAATTGAGGACTCCGGAGATCCACTTGGAACTGCAGGAGGACCTGGTAGAATGAATGGAACCGGAGGTGAGGCTGCTGGCGTGAAGGCTGGAACTGGAGCAGCAACAGGTGAACTTGACACTGGAGCCGGTGCCGAATTTCCATAAAGAGTCGAATTTAAAATGCTCTCCACACCGTGGCAGGATATCTGAAGATCAGTAGTATTCGAAGCACACACATTAGCCAGGACGATGCGCACATTATCAACCTGAAAGTTGTTCCGCGCGTTATTTGTGATAAGAACAGATTCGTTGGCCAAAAAAGACTGCAGGCGAGTTCCAACAGGAAGAGTGACGAGTTGATCGAAGGTGTACTGAGGCGTGGCTGCATGGTACAACAAAATGTTCAGAACAGGCGTGACCATAGATAAAGAAGACAAAGCTTCATTCGTTGGAACGAACAGCGTGCTGTTGAGGCGCAAGATCGGCAAGTATGTTTGAATGAGCTGCGCCGCAGTGGTGAAGTTGTTCGCCCGCAGCGCCTGCACAGCAGCTTGAGACTGCTGCAATGCAGTCAAAGGGGGTGGTGGTGGTATAGCACTGGGAGCAGGTGCTCGCAACGGAGAAGGAGAGGGCACGACTTGCGCTTCGACAGCATCGATCTTCACCAACCCAACCAGCACAAAAGCCACAAGATATATTCCCAGCTGGACTCCATCTCTGCCCGCACGGAACTGTTTCGGACTTGGGCGTTTGATAGTCATTGTTCGAACCACTACCACTCCAGGACTTCTGACTCCCATCGATCAAGAAAATCCTTGTCTCCAATGCCCGGGTATCAAATTTATAGAAAGAAGGTGCTGAAAATGAGTGCACTGATTGCACGGACTTCCAATCAACCTCAAAATTTCTCACGACGGCAAGGCGTCTGTACCAACCGAGGCACCAGCACTAGCACCAACCACAGATGAACGAACCAAGTTCCCAAAACAACTGAAATCAGCAACAGCAAATGCGACTCACGCCGTATCCACCGCACGTCAGAAATCAGACAACCAGAGTCGAATGATCTCCCTCTCGCACGCTTGTCACGAGTCCTCTCATTCTTAACGGACCCAATGAGTTCGCTCGAGGCAAAAAGATTGTTTCTCTCCTTCGCCTCCCTCCTCTCTCGTTCTCTCATGCTCCGAATTCTCCTCACGCTCGAACTCCTCGCAATCGTTGCGGCCAGCACCCGGCCATCTAAATTAACGTCTCGCCCTATGGGACCGGAGCGTTCCCACGTTGAATTTCAATTCTCGCCGCGCCCCACTTGCTGGCCGCTACCCAGTTCGAAATCTGGCCTGACCGGGTTGCAGCTGATACAAGCGGCCGATGTTTCGTCCACTTGTCGAGGCTCCACGTTTCTTCGTGTCGCAGACGCAAGTTGCGCTAACGCAGTTTGCTTACGGAGGTCAGACATGTTTCCGTGACGCAGCTCATTGAACGAAACCGCGGCTGCCGCCTTAACGAGTGTGGGATGGATGGATGTGTTCAACGTAACGTCTGTCATCTTGCGGTCTGTCCGTCGATGTGCTGTTGGCTTTGTGGGAGTGTTTTCCAGTTACGGACCTGCCCTGGGAGTTACAATGGAGTTCATGTTGCATCTATATATAGAAAAGTTTTGCGGGTCCAAAGCAAGAGGGTAATAATTGAACTCGCCTATGCTCTTTTCGCGTCAGGTAGTTTGCCACTCTGTCACCTAGCTGTCGTAATTTGCTGTACATTAACGGCTTGTGACGAGCGAAACACACGGTAGAGAACTGAACAATTGCTAGAATTAGAGAATTCTATAGATACCTTTAGCAAGCAATAAGAAAGATAATTAGAAATACATATCTGTATACGAATAGACTATTACCTTTTAATACATAGGAAAAAAACAGAAAAATGTTTTGAAACTGATATCTATTCGTTATTACGCTCGCAAACCTTTTTCAAGATCTTTTCGTTACTTAATCGATCAATGTTCTTTGTAATTTTTTGCGATTATAATATATGTCTTTTGCATAGTGCAAGTATGCTCAGTAAATCGTGTATTCTAAAAGTCATATGCCTTTTTCTGTTTTCATGCATCATATGTTTATTATGACCCTAAACCCTTGCCCATGTATCAACGAGACGGGTTGGTGTATTTATAGTTCATATTAGTTTTTCAGAACTAGAAAAAAATCTCTAAAACCATCAGACCCACTCTAATGGGACTGTACCAAGGATCAATTCATTATTTTTTGGGGAATTTTGAATACCTTTATTGAAGATTAATTTGTTATCATTCAAATCTCTCCAAATTTAACACTAATATCTCGGGATTCTATCATGTATAGTTATATAACAACACCACCACGTAAGTTCCAGTATGAGAAGATATGCCGCAGGATCGCTGTTGCTTTGAACACAAAAGGAATTCGTATCATTTTAAGTAGTTTGCAATTGGACCAAAAACAAATTTCACACATAAACCTTGCTGGTAATGAATTCCAGATAGATTTTCAGCTGGTACTCAAAGTCATCTTCTTTCTCGCCAATTTGTAAAAATTTTTCTAAAGCGTAGTGAAGAAAATAATTCATTTCCTTACTTTGTCCAATCCTTATAAGGGATTGGACAAAGGGAGGAGTCGGACTATCACAAGCCTATGACATGGAAAATCTAGAGCTGACAGAAGAAGGAAGACGAGACGTGGTATCGGATGGCAAATGCGTCCACCTTCTATTAAGATCTGAAGTTGAGAACAGTATTCAGTTGGCCCATAAAGTAGCTGGCGTGCATGACGATCAAGTCGACTCGAACATGCATCAACGACGATCCGTGTGAAAAACGTTTGATTTATTGAAACAAGTATACATTTCGGATCTTCTAGTTGAAGATCAACATAAAAGAATGACTTAGATCTAAAGTTTTACAGTTGATAAATCTGAATCGAGCCTCAGATCAGTATAAAGAATTGTTCGAACGGTTCTAAATTCTAGGTGTTCATTTATTCCCGAAGTCGATCCGTTCATAAATTACATTGGACAGTGAGATTAATCCCGACTAATCGTGACGAGATGCGCTGTTCGGTTCCCTACTGAGAGGACGACTGCAAAATTGCATCAAACCAGCACCTCTTCATGCTCCTGCTCGTCCGGGCCTCTGTGGCTCGCAGTGTGAACCGCTCCTGGACATCGTTCGGGGAGACGTCTCAGGGAGCGGCTCTGCTCTTCGAGGTATGTACATTTGGACTTTGAATGAAGACAGCTGGCGAGCCAGAATCTGGACACGTGGACGCGCAGCTTCGTGACATGTGGGTTTGAACAAAGTGTGGGGTGCTTGATTCAACGGTGTCTGACGGGGGCTGCGGGATCACTTGAGCTTGTAGCCGAGGTACTCGACGCAGAGTCCTCCGAGGAAGCCAGCGCCGTAGGCAGGGTCGTCGAGTTGAGGCGGTTTGTTCGCAATGGCGTTCTCGGCGTCGTCGCATGCTCCTGCTTGGTCTTGCATCAGGTACTTGATGTAGCCTCTGTGCTTCAGGGATTCGTAATCGTCCGGGTTCAGCTGCAGGCCCTTGGTCAGGTCCGACAAAGCTCCCGGAAGATCGCCCATCATCCCTTTCAGAATCCCCCTCTCTTGCCAGTGGAACTGCTTGTGGGGTTGAAGCTCGATCGCCTTGTTCGCATCCTCCAAGGCTCCTTCGTACTCCTTCAGCATCACCCGCACGAATCTCCTCCAGCTGCATCCACCACATCGAGAGTCAGTGTCCCATTGTCAACACCTCTGAAGTCCATCGCCTATAAGAAACTCAGGGGATCAAAAGCAGACAAATCAAACAGAGCAACGATCGAATTGCAGTTACCTGTAAGTGTAGGGATTTTCCGGTTGGAGATGGTGAGCTCTGTCGAGGTCTCCGAGGGCTTGTTTGTAGTTCTCCATTTCTATGTTGATCACGGCACGACTACGGTACGCTTCGGCGGAACCGAGAATGAGTCGGTTGTTGGTCCTAGAGTCGATCTGGGTCAGGGTTCTTGCTGCGACGGCTTGAACGCTGGGGTCGACGTCGTCCTCCAGAAGCCTGAGCAGCCTCTCGATCGCTTCCGGGAACAAAGCGATTCCGATCTTGTTCATGGACTCCTCAGCCAGGTTGGCCAAGGCCCAGGCTGCGTTCGTCTGAACAGCCGGACTCTCCTCCTTGCTCAGAAGCCTCACGAATCCTTCCAGAGCTCCGGGGAACTTGGCGATGGTCATTTGATTTTCGCCGGCCGTGGCCATGGTGGCCAGAGCTCGAGCAGCATTGTTCTGGGTGTAGGAGCTGACATCCTGGCTCAGAAGACCGACGAGATTCTCCAAAGCTCCGGGAAATTTGGCCAGCAAAACCCTGTTGTTCTTGGCCTCGACGATGTGAGCGATAGCCCTCAAAGCGTTGCTCTGGGTGTAAGGGTTGACCTCCTTCTTGAGCAAGCCCACCAAACCTTCCAGAGCTCCGGGAAAAGCAGCCAAGAGCTCCTGATTTGCTGCACCGGCCGCAATGTTGGCCAAAGCCCAGGCAGCTCGGCTTTGAAGGTGGAGGCTTCCATGCTTAGGATTAGCGAGCAGGCCCACGAGGCCCTTGAGGGCACCGGGACAAGCCGCGACCATGGTCTTGTTCTCCTCCGCATCAGCCAGGCTTCCCAAAGCCCAGGCTGCGCTGAGATTGCGCCAGGCCCAGGTGGCCTGCTGCTGCATATCGCGGTGATTGTGCTCGGACTCGATCTCGAACAGGCTCACCAGCCCTTCCAAAGCCCCGGGAATTTTGGCGATGATCACCTTGACCTTGGTCTCGGTGGCTTCCGCGAGGTGCACCAGAGTCCAAGCCGCAGAGCAGCGAGTCTGCGGATTCACATCCTTGTTCAGCAGGCGGACCAGACCCTTCAAAGCGCCTGGAAACACTGCGATGCTCTCCTTGTTGACCTTGGCATCAGAAAGGTTTGCCAAAGCCCAAGCTGCGTTGAGATTTCCCAAGGCCCGCGTGGAATGCTGGTCGCACGGAGCCTCGATGCTGAACTCGTCCACTCCCAGCAGCCTCACCAGGCCCTCCAGAGCTCCGGGGAACGCAGCGATGGTGAGCTTGTTCTCCTCGGCCTCGGCCATGTTGGCTAAGGCCCAGGCGGCCTTGCTCTGGGTGACAGGACTCATGTCCTTGGCCAGAAGGCCCACCAGTCCATGCAATGCTCCGGGGAATTCCGCCACCGTGATCTTGTTGTCCCGATCGCCCGTGATGTTGGCCAGGGCCCAGGCTGCGTTGATCTGGATGTCGGACCGCACGCTTTTGCCCAGAAGGGCCACCAATCCTGCCAATGCGCCCGGGAACGATGCGACATCGACGCGATTCTCCTCGGCCTCCGCCACCACCATCAAGGTCCAGGCCGCGATGGTCTGGATCTCCGGCTGCGAGTCCATGCTCAGCAGGCGCACGAATCCCTTCAGGAAACCTGGAAACACCGCCATGTTGAACTGCTTCTCGTCCGACACGGCGATGTTTGTCAGCGCCCATGCTGCGCACTTCTGCGTCTCGTGAGGGACGTGCTTCCCCAGCAGCGTCACCAGTCCCTGCAGAATGCCCTCGCTCGCTATCAGCAATGGCTTGTCCAGCGCGTGCACTGCCAGTGCCCAGCACGTCGTCAACGCCGACTCCGGCACCGCCAGTAAGCCCGTGATTCCATTCTCTGGGCTCCGGTGGCAGATGAACTCCAGTATCACCTGTCGATCGATCCATCGATCCATCGTCCACCCAAAAAGACAATGTTAGTCAACCACAGCCGATTCCACCTACCGCTTCTGCATTCCATATCGCTCTTCGATCAAGCAAGCAATCTCTAATCGACAGGCTTATAACCAAATTCAGCATTGAAAAGAATAAATTAGAAGTTAAAGCGCAATCCTGTCAAAAATTCTGTTTCATTGATGCAGAGATTGTAAACCAGAACACCACAACCTCGCCGACAATTACTGAAGAAGGGATGCAATTTGAGTAACTGTCCCCAGCAGGAAATTGCTCGACTCCGAGCGACATTAGTAATTATCATCGAATAATCACTGGCAGGAAGTGACATGCGTTCTGAGAACAGCGATGGAGGTCGGAAGAGTACCTGTCGGGCGAGAACGTGGATCATGGGGGGCTGCTTGGGATACGGGTCCTCGCTGGTGACCTGCAGGAGGGAGACGAAGGGCGCGAGCCACGTGAGGATCAGGCTCCCCATGTGGCTGAAGTTGGACACGCTGAGCTTGGCCGCCGCTCGGACGGCAAGCTCGCCCTCGCCGTAGACGACGCAGAGAGCAGTCATGAGGGCCGCATCGGAGCTGAGCTCGTCGTGCGAGTCGCCGAGGCGATTGAGCAGCGAGTCGATGAGCAGGCCGATTTCGTTGCCCTTGGTGATTTTGACGCAGTGCTTTCGGATTCCGTGGATGGTGAGCGTGCTCTGGGGCTCGAGGCTCCAGGGCACGATCTGCTGCTGCTGCAGGACGAGCCCGCGAGCGCCCAAGTAGTCCCTCCACTTGGCGAAACTGGAGACTTCGCCGCTCGTGCACTGGACCAGCAGCTGCACCACCACTTCCGGAATCGGCAGGTCGTCGAAGGCCGCGAGAGCGAACAGAATCAGCTTCGCTTCGTGCGGCAAGTAGTCCACAGACAGAGCCATGGAGCACGCGACGTGCCTCGGGTACTGCTCGCCCAGGGCTGCAATCACTCCTTCCTCGTCCTCGTCCAGCAATCTACGGAACTTCCTCTCCACCTCCAGCCACTCCTTGGTGTCTGTTCCCGCACCGGGTCGGCTGTTGACGGCCAGCGACAAGCTGACCAAGGCCAGGGGATTGGCTCCCGTCGCAATAATGATGGCGTCTGCCACATCCTGCGAATCCACACTCGGATTGTAAGCAACTCCATGAAACTACTTCCACGAGTGCTGCATTCACAACATGGCGCTCGATTGACAAATTCAGGTAAATCTGAAGACAATCATGCAAGATCACCGAGTTTTTGACAATGCGACACATCGATCAATCACCCAACGCTGCAGGAGATGAACATAAACCATCAGAGAAAAAACCACACAATTCAACGAGAACTCTTCAGGTTGGCCCCTTCGTGACCTACGACAAAAGAAAGCATGCATTGAGTAGTAGTAATCTGGACGAAAATTGCAACATTAGGGGGCAAAATTTTATTCGCATTGGACTATGTACATTCGTCGAGCCTGTGATTGGGAGGGTTTCGATGACTCGTCATGATCGGTGCAGAAAGGGTCGCGTTCCGGCCTGGAGGTTCACAATGCATTGCAATTGTAAATGCATACGTGCTGCTCATACCTGTAAATGTCCTGGTATAAAGTCAGGAAGATCAATGTGTTGGGCCAGAATTTTTCTGGCATCTTCGATACGAAGAGGTGGCATTGTGAAGTTAACGGAATCCGCCCACTGCAATTCGAGCTCTGAGGTCACCAAGTACTTGACCCGGCTGCTCGGAACCATCAAGTGGTGCAAGAGGTCGTAATCCTCGACATCGTCCAGAACCACGAGAGTGTCCTTGTCCTCCATATACTCCATGAGCTTCTTATGGATTCCCGACTCGCTCAGCTGCTGACACTCTCCACTGGTGAGCAGAAGGTGCAGCGGGTACTCCAGGATGTGCAGAAGCTCCAGCTGCTTGGCCTTAATGTCCACACCTCCGCCACAGGCCAGATAGAAGACCCCATCGGCAAAATGCGCCCGCTGCCCTGGATAGTACACCTGCTTATCCTGATAATGCAGAGCCAGATGCCTCGCCAGGCTCGATTTTCCCGTTCCCGGCCCTCCCTGAAGCACCACCACGTGAGGCCCAGTCCTCCTCTCGAGGCTGCCCCTCACCTCGAGCACCGAGGCCTGCATTGGGACGTAGCGCTTGTCGGCATAGAATGGCAATCGAGACCGTTTGCGAGACTTGGACGTCCGAGGCTCGAGCAGAGGCTCACTCTCGTTGGCGATCTTGTCGGCATCGAGATGGTGGTGGTGGAGGTGGTGGTGGCTGTGGCTATGGTGGTCCACGCTGCTCGTGGTGACCATGATGTCTCGGACGTCGTCGTCGGATTCCTTCATGAGCAGAGGCAGGTTCTCGAACACGTCGATCATGCGCTGGAAGCCGGAAGCGAGCTCCTTGGGGAACTTGAAGCTGCTGGCCGCGAAGCACTTCATGTAACAGCTGCTGTGGAGTTTTCGGAGGCGAACCTCCTCCTCCCTCAGCTTCTTGCTGGCCGCCTGCAGGAGGGGAGCCACGATGCTTTGCCCCGGGATCCCATATTTTTTCAGCTGCGTGCTCCACAGAGGGTGTTTCATGCGGATTGTCTCGACCATGGTCGGGAAGCTCTCCACCTCGTCGCATCCCTCGTACAGCCCCGATCCTAGCTGCTCCGCCAGAAGGGCCGCTTTGTTGACCAGCGCCACGAATTGGGAATCGTCTATCATGGCTGCTGGCCGCGCCATTGCCAGCGTTTGATATTAAATTTAGTCTCGAAGCTCGATTTATCGATCTAATCTGATCTGTCTGTGTCTGCCTGTCAGCCCGTCTCGTCTGTCTGTCGGCAGCTGCTGATGAGTAGCAAAGAATGAGGTTTCGGCAGACTGCAGCCCTAGAAAATGTGGACTACGGATTCAGGAATGCTGCCGGAGTGCCCTGACCCCTGGAAATCGCTGGCTCACATCAGTGTTGTACTCGATCGCCCACAACCAAGGTGGCAATTTTACTGACTGAACAATTCTGGCGCACGTCAACATTCGTTCCGGCAAGGATTGATGATCGATCCTTCTTGATCGACCTCGCGAGCCGGGGGGTGTACGCACTAACGTACGTACTTACGTAGTGACAGTGAGTCAGTCGGTCAGTCGATCACTCACTCTATCGATCGATGAATGAATGAATGAATCGATCAATCAATCGACCGATCAAAAGTCCTGAGAGGTACTTTTGACTTCCGTTTCCTCGCTAGTGGATGATTATTCGAGTCAACCTGGATAGATCTTCTGAGGATCTGTTTTCCAAGTGCTACTCAGCTTGTGATGTCAGAAGAGAGGGGGTTTGAAGATGTAGGAAGGGAGAGCAAATGTGAAGCGAGCTGAGGTGGGGTGAAGGGCAGTGTGGTGGGGCGGGGTGGGGTGTGGTGATGGATGGAGGGAAGGAGGGATGGTGTCTAGTAGCTGAGCTGGGGACAGCGATCTCGAGCTGTAGAGGGGCCGAGGGAAAAACTCTCAGAGGTCTGCCCAATTTTAGAATAGCAAACCCAGCACTCAGCCCGAGCTGTTACCGGATTGGATTCAGCTGGTGTCGCTGGATCGGTAGTCTGGCTACGAAGCCGAGCTGAGGGGGGCTCGGCAGTCAGCAGACCTACGGAGAGAGCATGCGTTCGGGCAGATGGAGGTGGATCAATTTTATGTGAGCACAATGAGATGTGCCCCTATGTCAGGAAATAAGTCAACAAAAATCCTGGGAAATACAAGGTTTACGCTGCAAGCAAGCTAATTAGCTGCGAGGTTTGCAAAGCCGAGCCAATACTCGGCACTCGTGGTCTGCAGATTGTACACATGTTCAGCTCATCGTGCCGCTTCACACCCTCGGAACTCGTCGCAATCCCCGTGACACCACCCGCGAACGTGCCATGACTAGTTTATCGTATCCCGCATTTGGCACCCGGCTCCCGCTCGCAACTCCGATCCGTTCGTGCCACCCAGACTACACGCAGTAACTGAATGAGTGAGCGAGTGAGCGAGTTGAGCTATGGCTCGGGCGCTCCCCCTTCCCCTCTCTCCTCCCTTCGTAACCGAGGAGTTAAAACTGTCGTTTATGAATCTGAGCTTCAGACAAAGCTCTGACAGCCAGCTCTTGCTACCTTCTGTAACTCGCTGCAGCAGCAACCTCAGAACCCATTGACATGGATGGGATTGTCTCTGTACTCCCTCTCCCTCTCTCTCTCTGTGTCTGTGTAAAATGTCCGTCGCGGGCATCGGTGCTGACTGGCAGACAGTGCATAGGGCCTCCTGTGCGCGACTCATGATCAGCAGCAGCAGCAGCAGCAGGGACGAGATCATGATCACGCTGCTGTTGGGCTGTTGGGGTCGGTCTAGTGTCGCGGAAGGAATCCATCAACGTAACGTACCTGCTGCATATTCTTATCCTCATGGATCTCGTTATGCCGTTCCAGAGCGTTTGAACTTTTGTTCGGGTTCGAGCATCGGATGAGGGACCCCATTCCACTTATTTGAACTCAGGTCAGGAACTCAGGCCCCATGGGCCACCACTAGCACCATCAGCACGTGGACCGGAACAACTAACAGTCTCTCACACTGAAAACATAAATATTCGACGGTAATTCGACGTTAGATGCTAAACTACGATGATTACATCTAATCGGGTCTGAATTACGGTAAATAATGCTCAGGGCCCCCGTGCAGTCGATTAGCCTCCACGTTCGTCCACGTTCGTCCTCCGATTTCTGACGGGCTTAATAGGGACTGAGCCAGGCAGAGGATTACAAGAGTAGGAGATCTTTATGTTGGACCTGGCCTGAAAGGGCTTATCATCTTCTGGGCGGGGATTGAAGACTTCAGACATCCGTTCAATTTGAATTGAGAGCTTAGACTCCACTTTTCTGAAAAGGCTTCTTCGCCTCGGGAATCCACCGCGCAGTTCTGTTCATTCTCAGAGATGATTCTGACCCTGACTGACTTCCGAACATCAGGTGCCACCTTCGGCTCACGTTCGAATCATAAATTGTTCTCCTTCCGTCTCTGCTGGCTCTGTGCAATGTCCATCCGCAGCAAGCCCCACATTCAGCTGACGGGACACGTGCGGGCCATTGGACCCGTCTTTACTATAAGGATCGGAAATATTTCGAAAGGTTCAGGCTCAGATGGTCACAGGTCAACAAATGTTCGAGACCGCTGTTGGCTCGTACTGTCTGCCATTGGTTCTGAGTCAACTGCAGCTGCGAGCAACCACCAAATAGTGCTATACCCTCCTCCAGATGCACATTAAGGGCTTTGGAACAAGAGCACTCTGAGCTATAAATAACTCGGATCTTCATTCCTGATCGTGAAATTCACTGTCAATGTGGTTAGGTGGGACTAGAGTTCCGATTCCGCTGCACCTCCAGGTGAAATTTCGTCTACGCTTCGACAATCTTAAACCTCTAGCACATTCTTCAGAGATCCACCGTAAACTGTTGCAACCTGCGGACACTATCACCTGGAGTTGGACTGCCACTGTGGATCTACGTAAGGCTCCGATTTGTTCGAGCCCCGTAACATCTGATTCTCATCGTTCGCAACAAATTCAGCCGCACATTGGAATAAACTCCCGTCGATGGCCACGGCATGTGGACTGCGGACTGTCAACAGATAGTGCAATGCGCTACTGTTCCGATTTACCCGAGGACTGGACTGTTTTCAGAGGATTGCTCCTCTGCCAATTCTATTTTATTCTCGTGATCACCGTCCGGATCGTCTGGATGTGGTTCGGATGTGCTGACCAGAAAAAAATGCACTTTGCACTGGTTTGTTTATATTAGGGAGATTCAATATAAAATCCGGGCGTGGCTACGCAGGCGGTTCTACATCTGTCACTCGAGAATATGTGTGAGCATCGGATTCTGCGTTACTCTCCGACTCCCATGTTTTCAGCTGGCACGAATGTAAAATATAGCCAGGCGCCTGTAGATATTGGCTCTTTGAAAGATGGGGAGTGCAATGGCATTACCTGGTGTGTATCTCGCCAGAGGTATCCTGTCCCAATTATTCCTCTTTCTTTAGAAGTAATCTGAAGTCTTTTGCTGAAATACAGAGTGAAGGTACTGTTGTGAAGCACATCCGAGAGTAAGGAGGGAATGGAGTGGTGCCACCGCGCAGGCAAGAGTGCTGGTTGAAATTTTAGGTTATGGTTTAGTGCGGGATTGCTTGACGCTGTTGAGGATTTTGCTGTTCATTGCCGCAATGGCTGGCAACCGACCAAGATCCTGTTCACCATCTGTCCTTGTGTGAGGTCAATTTGAAAGTTCTGTTAGAGAAACCTTGCAAGGGAGGAAACGCCAAGCTCAACTCTCCATGGTCAGGATCTTGGATGCGATCAGTGACCGACAAGACTTGTCATTGAGGAGAAACGTTTTGTCGGACCGTCCAATGAACGACGCGGTTCTGTTCTGTGCGCGCCTCGGACGACGAACATTGATCCGGCAGCTGCAATTTCCCCACACTGCTCCGATCTTAACTCTGTACGCCGATGTATTGTTTGAACTTTGAACTGCAGGTCACGGAAACCCTGTGAGTCTCAGTCCTGCTTGGAAATTCTGTGTCTTTCTGATCGTGACAGTGATAAATTTCATCTTCACTGTTGTGAAGAGAAAGGTCAGATTTGTCGAACTTTCACTATTCAAGCCATCACTCAGGTCATTCCATTTCCGTTTGGGAGATTGCGCCGTGAGCTTTGTATTAAAGGACGGAACACCTTTCTTAGTTAGAGACAAAATGCTCTTCCAATCTTTGTGATTCAGGAAATTCGATGATGACAGCTGATAAAGTTTACATGCATGCTCATTAAGTCCCACCGTGTACTTCAACTCTACACAAATTTGCATGGAAAGGCAGAAGAGTCCTGTTCCTGACAGAGCCATACGTCACATCAACTCTGGTCCTTTGCAAATCGTGGGAAAATTCTTCGACGTGCAGATGTATTTTCTTCTGCCGAACCTCTTCTCGTCTGTAATCATGGCGCTACGTCAGATGCATTAAGATATTTGGAGCTATAACACTCATGAACTCTTCGGTAGCTGATCTTCCACCTGAGCGATACCCGATATTAGCTTCCAGCTCTAGGAGATCTAGTAGAGGTCTTATGCATACCATAACAGCTTATCAAAGCGTCCACCGAATGCTATGAAAAGAAAAAATTCTGTACCATGTTATGATAAGAAATAATTTCGGTATGACGACAGCGTGATCAACCTAGGCACCAGAAGTTGAGTTCTTTGTCATCTCTTTCCGTAATATCTGGTAGAAGACGGCCACAGCAGCAGCCGTAGGTCAGGAAAGATTAAATTTTTAGATTGCTTTCCACACAGCTGTTGAGTTCTGGTGAGGGATGAGCTGAATGATTATATTGGAACAAGATCCCACACTACGTTATGAGTGAAGAAAGATATGCTGACTGACATGGGACCATGTTCTTTCCACTATGACAACTGCACAGCACTCTACTATACTCCACCACAAAAGCATTTCAGTTTACTATCGGCAAAAAATATTCTCACAAAACTCACGTAAGTGTAATATATTGCTCTGATGTTACCTTTCTAAGCTTTTGCGAATTTATTGCATCTATTCAACCTGGAATCCTGCACACAACTAGACACTGTTGGAAAGCAACTTAAAACTTGAAACGCTGTGCAGTTTCGGTGCTCGGCTGAAGTAAGGAGCATGTATCACGGGCGGACGAGCAAGTCTCTCCGCCAGAAAAATAAAATTGACACCTTCGCATAAGGGCAAGTAGGGGCTGATGGGAGGGACAGTCATCGTTGGAACGACGGTTATGCCGATTATCCAATTCCAGGGCTCAAGTGCAGCATAAATGTAATCGTTAGTCTAAACTCAAAAGCACAAATTTCGACACAACCTTTTACACCTAAGAGCACTGACTGAAAGTGTTTTCAAGGATGAGTTCGAATAAAACTCGACTACTGTATCCAGTCAGGAAGTACACCTACGATTGGTCCAAAGCGCTGAGCCAATATCACGAAGAATCACTCGATCTCTGAACTAATACGTGATCGATCAGAGATTGTAGCTGATCATTCTGAACTGATTGACACCATGCCTGCTCACTGGATTCCTTGCAAAGCCACGTTTGTTTGGTTCGTTGGCGCGTACAGAGTCGCACTTATCGGACTCGCTTGTCGACAGGCCCCTGCACTGAGTCAGTGACCGCTTGTTCATACAGTTCACACCGCACACTCAAGTATACCTTCTGTGGAAGGCATGATCATTGCATGAGGTCATGTTCCAAAGTCATACTGAACTGGAGGAGGATAGGCCACACCGGGGCCTGCAGCTTGGGAACCGGTGACGTACATTTAACGCACCTCGGTGCCTGAGGTCATCTACTGTGGGCAATAGCTGACTGAACGAGGATATGGACGAGCAATCAGAATATCGAATGGAACTACCGAATGGAACTTCGTGCATGATACAGTAGTATGTCCCGAAGCTTCACTGAACGACTGCTCCTGACCCCCAGCTTTCGACGGCTCCGAATTAAGCTCGATCGATGAGGCTTCTTTCCGAGCTGAGATTATGAAGTCACTATACCGGTTCGTTCTCATCATCCTGCCGGGATTCAGAAGGTTGTTGACCATCATTTCTAGATTTGCGTGTATATTTGGATGGTCTCTCCGATTGAATACACCATTGGCCTTGCTGTTCGGTCAATGAGTATTTTATGATGTCACAGTTTCTATTATCAGAGATTAAGGGATTTGTCCGATCTGTATATAACGGAATTCTGTGCATCTAATTAGCCATGGTCATCTCAAAATGCAGCTCAAGATCTAGGATTTCATTCTACTTGGATGTGAGTATTCTATGAATACAAGAAATGAGTTGCACATGGATGCAACAACAATTATCTTGAGAACTTGCCCAGAATAGGTAGGCCCGAAACCAAATCCAAATCGTGAATCCGACCTGCCGGATTCGAACCAGCGACCTAGAGATGCCTGGCGAACACTACAGTCTCCCGCTCTACCAACTGAGCTAAGGTCGGATGATGGTTAAGATGAGAAAGTATAAATATTATACGTTATACAATTTACTATAGGTAGTGTTCTGATAAACGGAAGTAGTAGGGAGACCTTCCACACAGCAGCTTCCAAAAGAGGTAAATCTGCAACTGAAAACAGTGTCCATTGGAAGTTTACTTCACTGCCCTCCACCCCAGGCAACTTGCAATCTGATCCCGATTTTCTGCGGGACGTTGTAAGGCTCCACT